CAATTAATACAAATATATTTGAATACTTCCATTTTTGTTACTTCTCAGTTTCATTAAAATCATATACTGCACACTTACATGTTAATATTTTCTTGTTTCTCCATCAGGCACATTATTACATACATGAAATAGATACAACAAATTTGGCGTATCGAGAAAAATAACTTGCATAAATTCATCAAAGCAATAATTCTGTCAATAACAATGAGAAGACCATCACCACGTGTAAATGTTCTTTAAGAAAATAATAAAACTCCATTGAATATATGCAGTGGCGAAGCCATAAATTTTTTGAAGCCTGGGCAAAAATTTAAAGATCGCAAATTCACATTGTATAATAAAAATCAATAAATACTATATGTATATTGCAATATTATTCTAGGAAACCACCCACAAAGCATAGAAGTTATAAACTATTACCAACAGATTTATTTTTACTATATCATAGTAATTGATCAAACTTCTACCTGTAGCACATAAAGTAGATGACAACATAGCACATAAAGTAAATGATAAGATAAAGAGAAAATGGCACACCTGAAATACAAAATTGCAAAAAGATCCTTTTCCACGAGACATTGGGTTATAATTTTGCTCTGCAAGATACAAATAGTAAACAATACAATGTGCTCAATGAAATAAACTGCACTTAATTTTGGTTGACAAAAAGGAATTTATTGTGTTATAGACAAAGAAAGGCGTTTACTGAATTTTTAAACAATTATTACCAGATTCATATCTCCGTTGAGAGTTCCCAGTGGTATCCATTAATCCGAATTATCTACTCTGCATATCTAGTACCAGCTGCTCCAAATAAATGTTCTTCTACATAACCAAACTTAGAAATTAAAACAATTTAAAAACACACATACAAAGATGAAAGACCCATAACTTGTACGACATGAAATCATTAGAAACTAATAAAACAGTTATTAGAGCACCGTGACAACAAAGCAACAAAGTAATTGGAAAAAGTGAAGATTAAAATGTTGGCATTATCCAAAATACTTTAATGGGTAGGGGAGTGGAGCAAAGATGTAAGTAAAAACATGACACAATTCTGCTCGATATTCCGTATAGAAATATGGACAGTACCAGAAATGGATCTAATATGAAAGCGTTCTATTTTGTAAAAAACAACACATTTTTTTTGCAACCTAAGCAGCAGGTATCATCCATCATCATCATCATCATGCCAAAAGTATACCTCTTTAAGGTTCTTAACATCAAGAAGCAATGCAGCTTCTCTCTTCTTCCATCCCGCTTCTTTCTTGCACCAATCACCTTTGTGGTTTTCTCATCATAAGCATCCCTCCATTTTCCTCCAATGAGGCCCTGTGTTCTCAACAACCCATAACTGTTAAGCTGGGAAGCATATAAATTCTTAGTAATTTATCGAACACATGATTCGTAAGAAACAGAAACGAAAAAGGAAAAAAAACTTGGTTGAGGTAATTTACCGAACACTTAGTGTGCAAGTTGCAAAACGGTGGAAACGACAACAATTCGATACCGATTCGTAAACCACAACCTGCAACATACCCATCATAAATTGATAAATTGGACGAATGAAAATGAACTGTAAGGGCTCATGAATCCCTAATCAGAATCCCCATTCTCCCTTATATCCAAAAGATTCCCTAACCTGAAAGGTCATTGAAATGAAAAAAATAGAGAAACTTATGAGTAAGTGAATCTTAAATGAAATGAGATTGAGGGAACGAAATGAATATTAAAATGAAAATGCAGCCGGAAAAGGTAAGTGGTGCACCTGTTCTTGATTAAACCGAAAAATATTGTCGGCGATTGAGTCCGGGCAGCTGTCCTACCTGGCCGGGCGCTGGCTCCGCCACTGAATATATGTACTGCATATACAAAGTTATAAACACACTCAAATTGAAAATAATAAAATTCATTGAGTATATGTAAAGCATATACAAAATTATAAACACACTTGAATTGATCAAGGTAACACCGAAAATCTTGTAATATCAATAAATACTTGTGTGTTATCCACAATCAACACTAAATAGATTGTATTTATAAGCATAGTAAAATTTAAATGTGCCAATAACATATCCCACAATCTATCAAAATCATCCATATTTCTATACTGATACACACACGTATCGCGTTTTATCAACAACATGAAATGTTGAATTTCATTGTTTTTCTCAATGAACTAACAATATACTAGACATTCATTATAAATGTTTTGATGGTAGTTAACTCTATGCCTTGTCATCTTTAAGTTTCATCAATATATTTTTTTATTTAACCATATTCTTTATTATGCCACCAAATAAATTTTTAATGATCGTTTGTTGGTATTTTTAGTTTAAGAGTAGTATACCAAATTTAAAACACAAGTAAATTTCCAAGTAGTAGGACGGCCGACTCAACAAATTTAAAGGTTTAAAACAAAATTTAAGATACATTATTTTAAACTTAAAATATATATTGATAAAATTTATATTAATTTTTTACTTTAAAATAAAAGAAACTATCAACAAATTTCTTAAACTTTATTTTTTTTTCAATTAAGACTCTAAAGAACATAAAATTAATCAATAATCCATTAAAACATATAAATTTTATTAATTTAATCCTTAATTAAAATTTAAATATTATAATGTTACTTTTTATCATCCTAATAGCATGAATTAATTTTACTAATTTTATATATTCTCGAGCTATATAATAAAAATAATTACTTGTTATATTTATATAATTTGAGAACTATATTAAAAAGCAAGTATTATTTTAGAAACCAAATTTAAAATTATTCATGTAAATAATATTAACAATTTTTATGACCAAACAAAAATATATAAGATACTAAAATCAAAATTATATATAATTTTCTCAAATAAAAAATAAAACATACATATCAATGTAATATTAATCTTATTTTATTAAAAAAGATATTGTGAAAATTTAAAACAAATGATTAACTTTATCATAAATAAAACTTCTCAAGTCGCTAGGCTACTAAAGAACATATAACATACAATTCTTTTGTTTATTCATATTTGTTTACTGATTATTTGGAGACCTTGCTTACTTTGCCTTTGGGCCGGATTGATTATGAGTTACACTTATACCATAACTTTTTTGTTTTATAGTAGTTTATAAAATATCTACAAATTAATTTCAGAGGTTGAAAAATATTTTAATATTTGGAGTGTTTGAAAAATAAATAAGTATGGTAAAATTGACAATTTAATTAAAACAGTAGAAAAGTAAAAATGATAAAATACAAATGATTTGGAAAAGTAAATGTCTTAAAATTTAAAGTACACACAAAACAAATGAGTTTAAAAGACAAAACTGCTAATGCTAAATTTATTGAAAATATAAAAAAAATTAAGATAATGAAAAAAATACTTAAATTTCTTGAAAATCGGAGTCTATTTATAGGAATAAGCTTCACAATTTAAGTATTCAACCATTATATTAATAGGAAAAAGAAATTAGGTAAAAGTCATTTCAGTGACAAACAACGATCATGAAAGTTATTTCGACGAACTAATCTTATTATATCATATATAGAAAATCAATACAGACTCTAAAAATTGCTCTTCCTTATAATTTGTCAAGTTTGTACTCATTGGTTGATATTCTATTGAATGTTGGCCGACATGTAATTTGTGCCAAGAAGATCCATTATCTTAATCACCCGTACAAATAGGACGCACTATGGAATTCTTCATTTCTCACAACCCTGCATTGTTAGACAAAACTTGACCCTCGTTGTCAATGTCTTTCATATTTTCTTTTAGAATATTGACTTTTTTCGTTGACTCTTGACCCTTTGTTACAAACAAATTTTTTTCAATAACAATAAGATAATTGACCAAGAAGTGAATTGCGAGTCAATAGGTCTTGCAAGTTATGGTTGTGCATATCATACTCTACTAGGAGAGTTCATCTTTCACCCTCCAATAAAGTTATTTCTATCCATCTAATATAATAAGACACTCACACATTTTAAATTAAGGGAATACCGTTAAGACCTCATATGTTTAGGATTTTCTTAGACTTATAACTTTGTCTTTGCTTTTTATTTTGTTGTGTCTATTTCAAATATATAGTTCATAAGAACAACATCATTTTCTTTCCCAATTTTTCTACCTCATTTCAATAAATCATCACATCTAATAAAAGTGATTGTAAATACACCTATTAAATATACTATCTGTGTATTTAAAAGTTCTACTATATAGTTAACTAATTCAAAGTCTTATTCTTCAATGTCAATTTAATAGAAGAAAAACAATTGTTAAATTGACTGAAACTCTTATTCATTGTTTTATAACATGCATAAGGTATCTTCCACGTTACACATATACAATTTGCAAAAGAACGAATATGTCATTTTATTTTACGTATTCGTACATAAAGTCTTATAACATAAGTTAAGTAGAATGTGAATTTTGAGACACACATAAACTTAGATTAAATAAGTAGTCACAAATCTAATTAAGATAAAATCTACTATTAAAATTTTAAACAACTCGTGTTTAAGTTTGATTAAAAGACGAAAAAGAAAAGAAAATAAATGCAAAAAAAAACCATTTTAGATGAATCTTGTTTATTAGTATAATACAGTTAATTACTCCAGTTAATCACCCTTAATTTTTAAAAATTATTTGTCTTATATTTTAATTTTTTAAAATAACTTTTATATATTGATACTATAAATACAATTAAACTCTGTGTAATCATTATTAAATTTAAATGTAATGAGATATTTATTTTGAAGAGTGTGTAAAAAATTCTATATTTTACTCCTAAAAAAGAGTATGGGTTGGTTAATTGAATGTGATTAGCACGTGTAGTTGTAAACCAGTCAAATAGAAGAAACCAAGACTCGCGTGTCTCTTGTATTTTCCTTGCGGCAGCATCTACACAAGAGTCACACCACAATCAAAGTATATACAGTAACTTCAGTACCAAATTCGAGATCCAAATTTCAAAATTCCTCTTCCATCATCATCATGGGAACTACCACCGTGGATTGCTGCGCCACGCAACTCATTGACGGTGACGGAGTCTTCAACGTCTCCGGTCTAGACAATTTCATCAAGACTTCAAATATGGCCGCGTGTGGACTTTCTTACGCCGTCGTTGCTATCATGGGACCGCAAAGTAGCGGTGAGTTTTTTTTTTCTTCTTTTTGAATTCAGTTTAGTTTTCATCTCCTATTTGCTGATTGCGATTTAGCTTTTTATTTTATTTTATTTATTTTATTTTTTATTTTTTTTGTTTTTGCGAATTTATTATTGTTTTTGAGGGAATATCTAATTATGAACTTGTTGAGTTGGATCGATGAGTTTAGTTTGCGTTTAAGTTAGTGATTCAAGTGAAAATAAATTTTCGGTTAGGTTTTTGATTTGATTGAAGTGACTTGTGGCGAAAGTGAATTTTTATTACTATGCGGTTTTGTATTTTTTTTTTGTAACGGTTATTATGTGTTTTTGTTGTGTGATCTAAACTTGCGGTTTGATTTTGTTGTTTGAGCAGGGAAGAGTACTTTGATGAATCATCTTTTCAACACTTCTTTCAGGGAGATGGATGCTTTTAGGGGAAGGTTAGGTTTTTGAATTGATTGAGCTGTTACTGTGGTTAGAGGAAATGGCATTTGAAGGGGAGAGATGAAAACTGAAATACTGAATGCTTTTTTTTTTGTTCTTGGATATCGCGTTGTTGCAGATCTCAAACCACTAAGGGTATTTGGATGGCTAAGTGTACTGGAATTGAGCCGTGCACTATTGCTATGGATTTAGAGGGTACAGATGGAAGGGAGAGGGGTGAGGTAATAGATTCTATTCTAGATGCTTTTTCATACCCTGCTATCGATATCATTTTATGCTTGATTATCAAATCGAGATTCAAATCATGAATCAAATCGAGATTCAAATCATGAATCAAATCGAGATTCAAATCATGAATCAAATCTTATTGTGAATCGCAAGATGCATTACCGATAAAATATGTCATTCTTAAGTTAAAACAAGTGACATAACAAAACTATAAGCTGATAGATCATTTGCTCACCTCAAAATGATTCAAGATTCAAGTCATAACAAAAGACAAAAGTAAAGTGCTTGGCTATATAAAATTGAGAGAAAAAGTGATTGACTACACTAAGTTTATGTAGTGATTCATTAGAATGAATCATAATTCATCTAAATTTATTGTAGTTCAAGATTTGATTCATCTTCAAAATAGATACACACTAGAGGTTGTATTGATTGGATTTAGCTTTATATCGAATTGAGATATGATTAGCATATATCATAAGATCCCGATAACCGTGGTTTGATGTTCTAATATCAATTACTACTTTTGTCGCTGAATATAAGACCCCTCTTGAGAATTTTTCTTGTCCCTCATAAGGCTCTCTTTGAATTTCAACTACATTAGTTATTTCTTTACAAATATACTTCTATTTATTTTACATTTTTTCCTACAATCAACAATGAATACTTTGAGGGGAACCAATTCTTTCTCTTGAAGGATAAACTTGTAAAAACAATATCAAATATCAACGAATTTGATACACACCAACTTTTTTAATTCCTATAATTTTGTCAAGAGGGTAATATATTTAAGGACGGAGTTAATAGTTTGGTTTAGTGGTTTATTAGTTATTTTAAGTGGCCTTTAGGATACCAGATAGGACTGACTTGCCAGTATAAGAAAATACTTTAAGTTGTCATCACATGTTTAGTGTTGACACATGTTAGTATAGCCAAATTTTGTTAACTTTTTATGGATGTTCTAGCTTCACTTTACTGACAAGCCTGTTTGTATATTTGTCTCTTAAGCGCTATTTACATATTTGATATTATTGAGCTGTTGTATCTCTTCGTTTCATGTACATTATAACTCATTATTGTTTTCTTTTAATTTACATCTCAGGATGATACTGCATTTGAGAAGCAGAGTGCTCTTTTTGCTTTGGCAGTATCCGATATTGTTTTGATAAACATGTAAGTTTTTAGGCCTAGATTGGTGCTTTATAATTGATAAAATGAATGAAATTCTGGGATGATCCTTTAAATTTAGGCTTCATGGTTAGTTATCAAGTTTCTAAGCAACTTACTTCCAAGTTCCAACATTATTTTCTCGCAGTCCTTAGAGTTTAGCTTGATATAAGTCTAGGTGGAATCACAAATCTCTCTGCCTAACTTGGTATAATTGATGTTTGCTATATTCTTGCTTGTAACTTATATACCTGACGGTTGGGATCATTGACATTGTATACTAATGATTGTAGGATGAAATTTAGTGCTGTATATTTCATAATACAAGGTGTGCAAGTAGATGATATACATTATGGCATTTTCCTTTTGTATTTTCTGCAGCATTCTCATCTGTGCACCTTTAAAATCCTTTTTCCTGCTTCCTTTCTTTGGAACCTAATTAGTTATCAAAATTAATCAGAAACTAGAAACTAAAAGAAGCCTTATTTCTTGGGTTATGTATGCTTAGAATTGACTTATAGACAAATAGTCTTATACTGACAATTCCATTTTGGACCCCTTGAAGATTTTATATTAGGATAAAACTTAAGAATTGTTCTATAGGTGCTGTTTATGTTAATTATAATGTACCATGTGGATTAATTTTTTGACTTGACTTTAAATTCAAAGTTGTCCTAATGATACTATTAGATACATAAACCCGAATTGTAATTAGAGAAAAGTAAAAACAGCACATAAGAATTTATATCTAAGCTGCCTTTTCTTTTATGGACAGGTGGTGTCATGATATTGGTCGTGAACAAGCAGCCAACAAACCTCTTTTAAAAACAGTTTTTCAGGTAGTTTGCACCCATGAATTTGCCCGTTTGGTATTCAATGTTTAAATTTCTACACTTTGACCTTTCTTTTAATTTTAGGTCATGATGCGCTTATTCAGCCCTCGGAAGACAACATTGCTTTTTGTTATACGTGATAAAACAAAGGTCTATACACTTTATCCTTTATTGAGAATGCGTCCTTCTGTTCTATACTTCTATTCAATGATTTATCATGTTTCTTGCTCTCTACACAGACTCCACTGGAAAATTTGGAGCCTATTCTAAGAGAAGATATTCAAAAGGTGTTTATTTCATTTAATTTCTTAGTTTTTCATTTATTTGGCTTCTTATTTTATTCATCATCATTTTTAAACATGATATGAATTCCTCAGATTTGGGATGCAGTTCCAAAACCTCAAGCTCATGTACACACTCCTCTTAGTGAATTTTTTAATGTAAGAAGATCTATCTATTTCTCCTTTTTCACATGCTTGTTTAATTGTTTATGTATATGTTATGGCATATGATTAATGACTCTTAATTTGAAGGTGGAGGTTACTGCTTTGTCAAGCTACGAGGACAAAGAGGATAAATTCAAAGAGGAGGTGCTCTTTCATGAGATTTTTACTTTGCTTTAGAGTTTGTTCAACTTTTCTATTTAATTCTAGAAGGATTCCTAACTCCTATTGCTTTGAAATATGTTTATCCAGATTTACAATTTTCTGGCTTTTAAATACGCATGCCTTTAATGACTTTTGAAACTATTTGCGTCAAAACTTCTTCATCCTGACTTTTATCTTATTACGATATCACATTGTTACTTTCATACAGGTTGCTCAATTACGACAACGTTTCTACCATTCTATAGCACCTGGAGGTCTCGCTGGTGATCGGCGTGGTGTGGTGCCCGCATCTGCTTTTTCTATTAGTGCACAACATATATGGAAAGTCATACGAGAGAACAAGGATCTTGATCTCCCAGCTCATAAGGTTTTCAATTATCTCATTTTTGGATTTTACAATGGTTTATCTTCCCAATAATTTGATATTTTGATGTAGTAGTGGTGTGGATTTCTTATGGATTTGCATTTTATAACAGGTAATGGTTGCAACTGTGCGTTGTGAAGAGATTGCTAATGAAAAGCTTGATCTCCTACGTTCTGATAAGGTGTTGATCTATATCTCCTCTACTTTATCCATCTAAGTTGCTTCAGTTATTTTAAAAATCAATAACCATATGAATGCATTTGGCTTAGGGTTGGCTGGAGTTGGAGGAAGCTGTTCAAGTAGGTCCAGTACAAGGCTTTGGGGAAGCGTTGAGCTCCATTATTGACACTTACCTTTCTCTGTAAGTTCCAGATGCTGGTAGACTTAGTTATTCATTCTCAAAATAAACCCGTGCTCAGTAATTACTTGATTTGATGTTTAGTTTCTGAGTTAAATCAAAACTTTTCCACGCCTAATAACTAATGTGTATGTTTATGCGTCAGTGAAGTGTAATAATTATCGGAATTGAATTGGGATGTTTTATTTCTTTTGGCAAATTTCTTTACCTTGTTTGGAGCTTTGGTAAGTTTTGCTTGCAATTGTGTCAAAAGATATATGTTTGATTGATAAGACTCCCAATAAAAGGAGCAAAAATGGGATTCGTTGAATGTGTTACTTTAATCTGTATTTGTCCTTGCAAGGATGTTACTAGTCATTGGAACCATAGGACTATTTGATATTGAGGGTATTAGTTTGGCATATAATAGATTATTTTTAATTATTTAGTTGTCTCCAAATGTTCCATTTTTAAAATTTTATTTTCTTATGGTGATAATATATGTTTTCAACAGATATGATGAGGAGACAATCTTCTTTGAAGAAGCTGTGAGAAAAGCAAAACGGAAGCAATTGGAATCAAATGCATTGGATGTAAGGCTTTATTCATATTTAGTTTTGGCTTATGATCCATTTGGATTGAAATTTGATAAAGCAACTTTGGATTGGACTGTGAATAAACTCAAGCCTCGTTTAGAACATTACGCAAACTTAAAAAAGTACTTTTTTATTTTATTTTAAAATTTAAATAGCTATGTTGGGCATAGAGAAGTGCAGAAGTACGTGTGGGTGCAGAACAAAACATCTTAAAAAATCCCAATATGAAAAACAGAGCCAAAGAGGCTTAAAGTTGAAACTATCCTTCCAAATTCGGTAGATCAGAAATGGAACTCCTTGAAATCATGCTTTGCAGAGTACCAAACAAAAGGCTATCAACACAATACCGCCTTCAAATTTTGGGGGCAAGTGGACCCACTTGATAATTGGTTCTCCTAGTCTTGGAATAAAATGACATATACACCCACCAATTCGAATAAGAAAAAAATATCCTGAACCATTTCAGGTTTGGTAGCTATAATCCCACTCGTCTGGGCACGCCGTGACTTCCTTAATGTAGACTGCCGCCCACGTCCTCAAATAATCTCTTGCAGCTTCTGATGGTATCCTCTGCTCCTCCACCAGATCTGGAGACAAAAACTGTGGGGTGCTTTAAGCCTTTAGGGGATACCACCAGAAAGACGTTCCCAACTCGTTGATTCCTAGTAGCATCCCAACTCGTTGATTCATGCTACCTTTCCCTGATTCTGTAGGACTACATTCCATAAGCCTAAGTTGAGTGAATGAGTACAAATACAAATATATATCATCGATAATGAAGCAATACTCTGTTCAACATGCACTTGCTTTGCTTGGTTATTGATCTGAAAAAATAACAAAAAACCACCTAGGATTCTGCTGAAATATTATTGGCAAGAAATTTTGAAGGGAGAGAGTATGTACGTGAAGGACCTGTCGGTATATTATATATAGGAAAAACTCTTCTCTTTAATTAAAACATGTATCTAAATATTTTAAGATATTATGTATTATGTGTTTTAAAATGTTCTCGGAATCTGAATATAATGGCCTATGATAATGCCCTTAAAAATTGTATCCTAGATCTTCTTTCTTAAAGCATAAACTTTTCATTTAAGTTTTGTTTTTGCTTCAACTTTTCAGATAGTGCACCCTGCTTATACAACAATGATAGGGCTTCTACGCTCTCAAGCTTTAGACGATTTTAAGACTAAGCTGGATCAATCACTAAACAATGGAGAAGGATTTGCTTCATCTGTTCAAACATTGACTCATTCTATTTTGCACGAGTTTGATAAAGGATCTGCTGGTAATAATCAGATAGGATTCTTCATAGTGGCATATACATTTTCTTCTTAAATTTATATCAGGTGTCATTTGGCCATTCTCAAGGGACTATTATTTTTACTTCACACTATTTGTACATTTTCTGTGTAATGTGGTATGAATTTCATTATTTAATCTTGAAGCAGAATCTTTAGGAATTTATGAATCTTCAGTTTCATAGATATAGAAACTCTGGCTCCTGATTTGCTTTTATAGGCGCGCTATTTTTTTCCATGGTCATATATAAATAAAAGGAAAGGAAGAACATTACCACCTTACACCAGTCTTTCTTCATATCAAAATTCATGTCATAAGTCGTTCATTCGTAATATGTCTTTGTTAGCTTTCTTTAAATGAGCATATTCTCTCTTGCATGGTTTTACTTCCTATGGAGTTGCTAATTTGCCTTGGTCATCATGTAAACCGTTTTCTATAAATGCTCATTCTTATTTGTTATTTTGTTTTATCATTATTTGCATTTTTCAGACGCTTCTGTAAGGCAGGCTAGTTGGGGTGCTTCAAAATTGCGAGATAAGCTTCGTCGTGATATTGATTCACATGCTTTATCTGTGCGTGATGCAAAATTATTGGAGATAACAACTAATTTCGAGGTAATAATATTGTTGTCGGTACAATCATCATCAAATGGTGGGGGCATTGATGCCTGACTATTAAGCTTTGAATATCTCTTAGCCTGTAAGCTATAGGCTAAGTTGATAGCTTATATATCTGGGAAGTTAGTCAATTGAAATTAAATTGATGCCTGAGTATTAAGCTTTGAATCTCTCTTAGGCTGTAAGCTATAGGCTAAGTTGATAGCTTATATATCTGGGAAGTTAGTCAATTGAAATTAAAGTATTTAGTAAAATTAATTATTTAAGTGATAAAGATAAAATGGCATGAAAGGACTTGTTTATTTAACTCTTTACATATGTTCTTTGTACTATGTGTATGCGTGTGTATAAAGATAAAATGATATTGTTACTAAAACTGCATTGTTGTCACTATGTTAGATTAATTGGTTGAGTAGAGAAATGTATTATTAGTGTCTGCAATATCTTTGTCAACCACTAAACCATATCCTTTTGCAGAAACAACTGGCCAAGGCATTGGCTGAGCCTGTAGAGTCCCTCTTTGAAGCAGGAGGAAAGGACACATGGGTTTCAGTAAGAAGACTTCTTAAACGCGAAACTGAAGTTGCTGTATCAGAATTTTTAGATCGCATTGCTGGTTTTGAGCTGGATGAAGAAACTGTTGAAAAAATGCAACAAGGCTTAAGAGATTACGCTAGAAAATTGGTGGAGAATAAAGCACGAGAAGAAGCTGGAAAGGTTCTGATTCGCATGAAAGATAGGTAATGTTGTTACAGTCATTCATTTTTCAATATGGTAGAACTGAACAATTAACAGAATAAAAAGGGAGTACTTTTAAAGTTTTGGAACTCAAGATTTGTACATATAGTCTTACTATCTTTGTATTCATTGTTGTCTTTTGTTGGAATAGAATACTAGAAGCATAAGTTTCTTTTCTATAGATTTTTCTTTTAGGGAAAAGTTGTTTTGGTATTTTATTATGCTCATTGAATGTGTGCTTTCCTAGCATTTCTTTGTGAGGCATGCAGAGAAACAGAGATTTGCACTTAAAACTTGTTAAAAGCAGTAGAGAGAAACACAACATTTGTGGACACATTGAAAATACCTTGCTTTAAATGCTATAAAAAGGGAGTAAAGTTTGATCGATTTTAAATTTTTGGAACTCGAGATTTGTACATAGAGTCTATATCTTTGTATTCATTGTTGTCTTTTGTTGGAATAGAATGCTAGAAGCATAAGTTTCTATAGGTTGTTCTTTTAGGGAAAAGTTGTTTTGGTATTTTAATATGTTCATTGAATGTGTGCTTTCCAATCATTTCTTTCTGAGGCATGCAGAGAAACAGAGATTTGCACTTAAAACTTGTTAACAGCAGTAGAGAGAAATACAACACTTGTGGAACATTGAAAATACCTTGCTTTAAATGATATAATAATGGTTAAGAATTTGGTAGATACGGTCTGATTGTTAGTTATTTCCATTTGTTTATTTTGGATGTTGGCCTTTATTGTACTTGTACCTTTTCTGTTATGATGAAATAGATTGCACTATTCCAGGTGGATTTTATTAATTTTCTGATTAAGTTTTGTGGCTCACTGGTTTCTATAATAATTTTCAGGTTTTCTACAGTGTTTAATCATGACAATGATTCACTCCCTAGAGTTTGGACTGGGAATGAAGATATCAGAGCTATTACTAAAGACGCCCGCTCTGCGGTAATTGATAGCTAGTTCAATGAATCTTTCAACTCGCTCATACTTGAAATTATACTGTAAACAACACTCTTTTTAATCACCATGTAAAATATGTTTTGGTATGTAACAGTCGCTGAAACTTCTATCGGATATGGCTGCTATACGCTTGGATGAGAAGCCAGATCAAATTGACAGAGTCCTTCAGTTGTCTCTCATAAACAAAACCAGTGCTGCAGCATCTACCCAGTATACAGACAAAGAAGCTTCTGTGGATCCACTGGCTTCAAGCACATGGGAGGAGGTATTATATTGTGTGTGATATTTGTGCTTCTACTAATTTTGCTGTCAGAGTTTTTTTTTTTAAATGTGAGAATCTACATAAATGTAGGTTTCTCCTGGAGATATACTTATCTCGCCAGTGCAGTGCAAGTCTTTGTGGAGACAATTTCAAGGTGAAACTGAGTATACAATTACACAAGCTATTGCAGCTCAGGTAAAACTATTAGACTACTTTCCTGTCTATGTTTTCCGCTTTCCCTTTAATAAATGAATTTGTCTGCAGTTTTAGCCAACTTCTCTGCAATTAGAGATATAAAACTATTTATATGCTTTAGCCTAACAGCATAAGCTCTTGGGATAAACAATACTAATTGACTTGGTAATAGAGCTGCTAAAGCCTTTGTAATTTTCTACAGCCTTAAGGAATATGAATTTGCAACCAAGCTGGAAAATCCTTATTGATTAATTTTTAGATACAAAAACAGAAATGCAATTAATGTAACACTTAATCCTCATGCAAGTCCAATAATCCATGCAAGCAATCTTCCGCATATAACAAGCTTGTTTCAAAGGCCTTGTTCTATAAAATATGTATGAAATTTTGTGGTTTAAAACAGTCAACTGTGTTAATTGCCTCGTCTGTCTCGAGCAGTGTTTTAAAAACTAAACCAGAAATTGAACTTGCAAAATCAGTTTTTGATTTAACTGCTTTAACTAGTCGAATATTTAAATTTTAGGTTTAATTGGACTATTGAACCAGATACGTTCATGGTCAATCTGCCAATCCGGTCTAGTATTTTTTGATATTGGTCTGAAGGTTTTGATCCTCTTTGCTGTTACTTTCTGATTTTGTTGCACTTCACTTCCATTTTGATGATAAAGCCGGTTTAGTTGGAGTATTTCTTGCTGTTAATATGAGAATGGTGCAAGCTACTAGATTCCGGTTTTTTTCCCATTCATTAACTCTTGTTTAACTCTGCTGTAGGCTACACTTTTTTTCTTTTGATAATGCATTCTTGTCCTTTCTCTTTGCGTTGTAACAAATCTGATTTGAGACATACTAACAAATTTGCTATTTACTTTTTTGTGCTGGATTCAGGAGGCCTACAAACGGAATAATAATTGGTTACCTCCTGCGTGGACAATAGTGGCAATGGTCATATTTGGTTTCAATGAATTTATGATGCTTTTAAAGTAAATACCACTTTCAATATTGAATTGAGATTTTTATTTTATTTTATTTTTGTATTTTATGACCCTTTTTCCATCAATTTCATAATTACATCTTGTTGATTCTGAAACAGAAACCCTCTCCTCATATTGGGTATTTTTGTTGCCTACCTACTCGGGAAGGCACTTTGGGTACAAATGGATGTAGCTGGAGAGTTTCGACATGGCACTGTGAGTAGACTGGATTCTTTTCATCCATTTTTCTTACTATTTTCCAAAATTTCCTGTGGTCACTTTTCTGTACACACACCCGTTAGAGTTACAAAATTCATCATGACTTGCACTGTTTTATTTCTTTCTACTTGTGCATATTTTGTTCACAGCTGCCTGGGTTACTGTCCATTTCGTCAAAGGTTTTTCCCACAGTTATGAACCTTCTTAAACGTCTTGCCGAAGAAGCTCAGGGAAATCCAGCACCTGAAGCAACAGAACAACATCGTTCAGATTCTCAGATATTCAAAAGTCAAGTGCAAACACCTGACTCAGTATCAAGCTCAATCTCCAATTCAGTTCTATCTAGTGTTGGCTCATCGAATGATGACAGTGAATTTTCAACCACAAACTTGTTACAGAGACAAAGAACAAACGTTTCTGAAGCTGAATCATGATCATGGTAATTTACATTGAAGAAGAAGGTCGGTATCATATTATGCACGTCTTAGTTGCTTTGAGAGATCGATCAGTTTTGTATTTTACAGCTATATTTTGCTTATCTTATTTACTGTAACGTGTAAATTAAATGCGAATATAAAAGAACCCCTATTTGGGTTCTGTTCTGATGATCTTATCTTCACTATTAATCATCTTCCCTGATTGTAATTTCGCAGCGTATAGGTGGGTCAAAGTATTTCTTCGTCAAGTTGGATCTTTCCTCAATCTTGATAACTTAAAGATTTCTAACGAACATTTATTTACTTTTAGAAGAGAAACAAATATTTATTTTGCTAGGAATAAAATTTAAAACTTCAGTGATATTGAAAAATTACCAATCTCAAAACCATTGTCTAGTTAACAACTTAACACTATCTACATCTTTAAATTCACTTTTTTGCAATTAGACAAAAATATTAATAAACAAAGTTGATGTTAACATATTTGAGGTAGAAATAGTTTTTTTTCTTGTCTTAGTCTCGGTGGATTCTAACTTGGGAATTGAGACACAACATTGGAAAATCATAAATGCGATGTACTTTTAGATGCAACCAAAAGTTTCATAAGAGAGTCACCCTCATTTTGTTATAAACACTTCGCAAGTGCGGAAATGTATCCTTATAATAATAGAATGATGAGTCAGTATCTATACTTTCGTAAAAATTTACAAATGTATGCTTCTGAAAGTATTTTGAGTTATATTATCCTATTAAACCTTCTCTCTTCTTGGTTTCTATTCAAATTTACTTTGAAAAATAAAATAAAAGAGCTCGTGAGAAATTCCTTTTTCATCATTTTCAACTTCTACGACAATATTTAATCCAGAAGCTTTTTCAATTGCTACTTCACTCTAATCAATTAAAGAGCTTTTACTTCTCAGAAGCTTTTTCAATTTCTACTTCACTCTAATCAATTAAAGAGCTTTTCCTTCTCACGTTTAGCAATTTTTTTTTAATTTTTTTTTATTTGTGATGCATGCATCACTTAAATATATTGTTTAAGGTACATTCAGTTATAGTTACACTCATAATACATGGTTTATCGAAAAATCCATTGATATTTTTTGATGTTTAAAACATATGGCATGTTGGATTTATGCATTTTCCTGCAAACTTATTGCCTAGGGATTATTGAAAAGTATATTTCTGAAGTATTTTCTGAATTATGAAATAATCACATTACTTTGAGTTCAAAATGTGTTTAAAATTTATTACGGAAAGTGTATATACGGGTTCTGATTAAATTTTGATAAAAATAGAATAGATGTTTCACTTTAAGAAAATAGTGTATTTTGAACCCGAAGATATATTTTTAAATTTAGGAGGGACAACATTAAATTTTACAAGGGTGGTTCTTTGTGTGAAGAGTTAGGTTCTGAATAGTTTTGGTAAGAAAATTTTGAAGTACATATTTGATAAATTGAAATAACTTAATAAGTATTTTCTAGGATCCTTAATTTAAAAAGTAAAAGAAAATTCTCCGCTTTAAAACGCTTTGCATAAGATACTTTTTCGAAATTAGCATCCCTTGCTTGAATAATGATAACCTCAAGTCAGTGGCGGAGCCAGAAAGTTTTTGAAGTCTGAACAAAAATTTAAAGACAATAAATTCATATTGTATATATAAATAGTTGTTAATCAAAATAAAAGATTTCTAATTTAATTGATTTCGGCAGAATTTTAAAACTAACATAGTCATATCCAATTTGAGGCTGATACTAACATGGAATATCATTTCATGTGATTCATAATAATTCTTGAAATTAGCAACAAGTTAACAACATAATTTTATTTAATAACTACCGTAACTACAAACTAAATTTAAAATACAAATTCCTAATTAACATCAATTGAACCATATAATTTAGAGTGAACATAAATTGAAGAATTAGACCTAATATATTTTTTTATATTATTTGAGGATAAAATTTATTCTTTTCTTCTTCTTTTTTACAACACTATACATGTTTTTTTTTATAATTTTAGTAGCTGCTACTTTTATGTTAAATTTTATTTTTTCAAGTATTTATTTTTTGTTTTTGGTTAATTTGGTCATAAATAGCAACTTTATTTTAATTTTGCACTTTTTGTAATGTAGTTGAATCTAAATATTATCATATAAAAAAATTAATATAATGTATGCTTAATTGCATAAAAAAGGAAAAAAAATTATGTTTTATTTGTAAAAATGTTTAAATTACGGCGGTTAAAACTGTCATTATCAACGACAAAAAACCGCCTTTTATTTAATATATATTATGACATGAGAAATTTTATTCAAAAGTACTATTTTTCTGCATTTTCGTTAATTGTGGCGGTTTTAACGGCCATAACAGAACTTATTAACCGCCACAATTTTCATATTCTTTTATAAAAGAAAACAAAATTTTGGGACCGAGCCCAGACACATGCCCAACCTAGCCAATGCCTCAAGTTCTTTTCTTGGCATCTATTCTGCATATAATTGCCGGAATTCCATCCATCAATTATGTTGAAGTGAATAATTGAAACCAACCAAGTGTTTTAGGAATATGAGCGGATAAAAAAAACCGTTAAATCAATAATTCATATTAACTAAATCAAAATAAAATTAATTATTTTTTCTTCAAATATTGAACCTAAACTGACGTGGTTTGGTACGAATCTCGATTTTATTTTTTTAAAATTTTCAAACTGATGAGTTGAATCAATAAGTATAATTATACTCTACATTTTTTTATTCCATTCATCATTAAATTTAAATTTTGTATCCTTCCAACCATTCTTCATCTTTGTTTACATCTTATTCATTTCAGTAAAACATGTATCTAAAATCAAATTCTAAAATATAAAAATATAAATCATAAGTTACAAAAACTTATTTTCACTTAATTGTTGCTCTTGTTGTTCGCCACAAGTGTTCCTCTCTATCGTCATTCTAATATGTTATGGTCATTTTGGCTTATTGCAAAATTATTTTAATGGATTAAACATTCGTGCCCACCCTATACATGTGCAAACAGTGGTACACATATGGTCTCAACATTTAAAGAGCCTCCAAAAATCAATGCACCCTCTTAAATTAAATATTATTGAGAGAGTATAAGGTTTTATTGTGCAATGAGCTAGGTCTTTCAATCTGTTGCAAAAGAAAAGCTAGCCTACCAAGTGAAGGCAATTGGAATTCTAATATTCTGATAGAGAAATAAATTAATAATTCTAATACTTATAAAAAGTTCTTATATTAAGTGTACACATTTTTTGTTTATTTCAAAATTATTACATAATTTAAAATGTATAAATTTTATAAGTCAAAATTACAAATCGTTTTAAGTATAAATTCAAAACAAATTAACTGATAGTCTTAATATATAGTATAATTAGGGATGTTCAAATTTAAATTTTTTAGAAAATTAATTCAAATTTAAATTTATAAAATTAAATAGGATTTGATTTTTTAACTAATTATTCAAAATTAAATTGAACTGCAAATAGTTTTATTTATTGATGAATTATGTTTTATTTCATAATTGATCAAAATCACACCACAAATATCAGTATTAGGAACCATTTTTAAAACTCTAATATCTCCGAATTGATTGGACCGACCCTGCTAAACATATAATTGACACGTGTTTTATTGTGTTATATTTATTAAACTTTCAAATTTTTTTCAACTGTCAACTTTTATATTTGATATTAAATTTATTTTATTGAGTGAAAATCATATCTCTGTTTGAATTAAGAACAACTTCTAATTTGTTTGAAAAAAGAACATAAAATAAAATTTTTAAAAATATATTATTTTAAAAATAATAGCATAAAATACACCTAAAAACACGATAGTGAAAAATACATTGATAAATATAACTTTAAAAAAAAATATTGTAAACCAATCAACCATATCAAATTAAATCGAATTAAATATATTAGTTTGGTTCGATTTTATTTTTAAAAAAAAAGTTAAAAATCAAATTAAACAAAACCGACGAAGATATCATCAATTTTAGAAGACCTTTGAGTTTATATAATGCATTTTTTTTTAATTATAGAATAATTTTAATTAAGATAGTTTAATAGTTTAAATTTAGTATATTGTAATGTTTACGGTAAGAATTATGTTGAATTTTGTTAATATGATGCAAGTAGTGTTTTATATTGGAAAACTAACTAAGTGTCGCTGGATGCTTCAACATTCAATGCATGTAAAACAAGTACAAAATTGACACAACCAAATTAACAATGTGTTTAGACAAGCAATTGGAAAATTTTTAAAATTCAAATTATTCAATTAAAATTTATTTATTTTATTCAAATAGAGTATTAAAATAATTTGTAATTAAATTTTTGATGTCATTTTTATAAAATTTAAATATCTAGGTCAATTTTTAAATTTGAAAAAACGGAATAATTTACAATTTTAAAAGTTAAATGGACTAATTTTAAAATTATTACAAATTAATTTTCAAATTTTTGAAAAATTTGAGAGTCAATTTTAAAAATTTGAATATATGAAACTTAACTTGCAAATTTTAAAATAATAATATTGACTTATTTGATATTCACATTTTATGGATTATCAGAGAAATTTTAATTTTTTATTTATTTTATGTGTTATTTTAAAATCATTAAATTTAACTTTGACAAATACTTCATAAATTTTCATCATTTTAATAATTCTTCCTATTTGTTATCCAAATAATAAATTTTATTTAAATTATTTTAAATTCTATCAAAACACTATATTCACTTACTAAAATCCTTCGTACAAACACACTATAAGAGTAAGTTTAAATGATATAAATAAATTTTTTTAAGAAATTTAAAATTTTAAGCAATTCAAATGATTCAATTGAAATTCATTTATTTTTAAATTTTTTTTGTTTATGAAGTATTAAATGATTTATTGTTAAATTTTTAGACCCATTTCTATAAAATTTTAAATTTTTGGGTCAAATTTAAAATATGAAAAATATGTA